ATAATTTAATTTTTAAAACGAATTTTATTAAAATTTTAGAAAATGATTAAATTTTGGAGAAGAATTTTATTATTTACAAAGAGAATTGAAATTTGGACAAGTGTTTTTTTTTTAATTTTTGAATGTAATTGAAATTTTGCTAAGAATTTTATTACTTTTGAAATTAATCGAATTTCTACAATTATTTCTAACTTCTCCTAAATTCAATTTTTTTCCTGCTTTTAACTAAAATTCTCCATTATTTTCAATAAGTAATTAAATATAATTATATATAAAATGTAACTAATTTCAGAAAAATGTGAATTATTAAAATTTTTTAAAAATTCCCTGTGTCAGAATATATGATTATTATAGTTATAATAATATTAAAACTATATTCCTATTCATATTTTATTTTCATGAAAAAAAAATTTTTACATTCTATTATTTTTAATTAATTAATTATTAATTAATTAATTATTAATTATTAATTTTATTTAAAAGTGTAAGATGTTGACCGCGCGAGAACGAGAAGTGTTGTTAGTGCCTATAGAAATATAGAAATAAAGTAATATTATGAAAAATATTTATTACAAAAAATCTTTATTGTACAGGAAAATTTGTATTCCTTGGAGAGTTGAGATTTCTCTTTAACTATAGGTATATATATTGGAAATAATACTCTTCAATGGCTAGCAAACTACTTTTCCTTCTTGAAATTGAAAATTAGTATTTTTTCTCCCAAGTAGAAAAAGAAAATAATTGTCACATCGGCTCGTATTGAAATTGGCTTTATCTATAATATTTCAATTTACCAGACTTTATTGACGTGCGTGTGTCTAATATCAAATAGTTTTGAGAGAATAGTTTATTGAGAAATGAAATTTGAGATTGCCTGTATCGATAAGAGGAAGAATGCTGTAAATTTGAAAATAACATGAATCTTGCTGTCGAGTGGATTGAGGTAGGCGCCAGTAGACACCTTAAACATGGACGAATGGAAGTTGCTGTCCAATAAGCAAGTAGCCACCCGCAACGAATTCAAAAGCCTGAATAAAGATAAGACGATAGCAACGAATTTGGTTTAAAAGGTCCATTAACCGGTCATTATCAGCGAGTGCGTCTTTTATACTTTAAAGGCCTCAGAAAAACTTCAATCTCGACAAGACTTTGTCCTCAGATGTATAAATATAAATTTATATGTACATGTGAGTGAGAGACAGTCAACTAATATCGATCTAAGCGCCACGTCATTTTTAGACAATGTCATCCTTCCCTTTTGCACTCTACTTTTCTGGACCTGTGCATCAATGCACATGCAACTCTCCCTTTCATCTTCTAAGTGCACTCCACTTTTTTTTTTTTTTTTTTTTTTTTTATGGCAATCGACCAACTCGGAAATCCAAAAAGATTTCTCAATCGTGCGTGATGTTCTTCTTCTTGAAATCCAGCAACAAAACTCTTTCCTTTTTTCAAAATTTCATTCATTTTACGGAATTAATTGAATTTGAAAATCACAAACAATTTTCACTTTCACTTAAATTAAAGAGACTTTTAATTTTACTTTTATTTCTCTGTGATAGATTTCAGGGTTTTCTCGCTTTTGCTCATTTCAAATTCCCTGACTTTTCCAGATTAAAAAAAAACAGAATTTTTCCAGGTCTTTAAAACTACATCTATATTTTACACAAATTAAATAACTCCCTAATTTTAGAAAATTTTCGATTATTCGGAAATTCTTCAAATTAAAAACTTAAAAAAAAAAAAAAAAAAAAAAAAAAAAAAAAAAATTCATTAAACATTTTGAAAAAATCAATTCATTAGAATTCTTAATTATAAGTATTAGAAAATTCTACGAGAATTCAATTATTTAAATACAAAAATAAATATATTATTAAATAATTAAATGTTTCTTAAAATTTAATTTTCAAAAAAAAATTTATCAACAAATTTTTAAATAATCAAATTCTTTAGACGAATTTTAAAAAAACTTTGAAGAATTATTACATTTTTCGAGAAATTCGATTCAAATTGTACTAAAAATAATTAAAATTCTACGATGACTTTTATTAATTATGAAAATAATAATTGAATTCTTAAAATGAATTTGATTATTTATGAAAATAATTGAATTCTTCTTGAAAAAAATTTTATTTAAATCCTTTTAAACAATTGAATTCCTTTGAAAAATTGTATTATTAATTCTTTTTCACTAATAATACAATTCTTGATAATAATTTTTATAAAATTCTTTTTAAATAATTTAATACCCTTGGAAAATTGTATTATTCATAAAAATAATTGAATTCTTGACAAAAATTTTATAATTTATGAAAATAATTGAATTTTTTAGAATTTTATTACAATTTTTTTTGAACAATTTGAATTCCCTTGAAAAATTGTAGTATTTGTAAAAATAATGGAATTCCTGCATCGAATTTTATAAGATTCTTTTTAAATAATTGAATTCCCTTAAAAAATTGTATTATTCGCAAAAATAATTGAATTCTTGACTACAATTTTATTAACATTTTTTAAATAATTGAATTGCTGAGAAGAATAATTATTTTATTTAAGAAAATAATTGAATTTTTTTGTAATTTTATTAAAATTCTTTTAAATAATTGAATTCCCTTAAAAAAATTGTATTATTTATGAAAATAATGGAATTCTTGAGTTTAATTTTAAAAAAATCGTTTTTAAATAATTTAATTCCATTGAAAAATTGTATTAATCGTGAAAATAATTGAATTCTTGAAAATAATTTAATTAAAATTCTTAGAAATAATTGAATTTCCATGAAAAATTGTATTATTTATAAAAATAATGGAATTCTCGCGACGAATTTTATGAGATTCTTTTTAAATAATTGAATTCCTTCAAAAAATTGTTTTATTCGTGAAAATAATTGAATTCTTGACAACAATTTCATTAAAAGTTTTTAAATAATTGAATTGCTGAGAAGAATTATTTTATTTAAGAAAATAATTGAATTTTTCAGAATTTTATTAAAATTCTTTTAAATAATTGAGTTCCTTTAAAAAAATGTATTATTTACGAATATAATGGAATTCTTAATAATAATTTTAAAAAATTGCTTTTAAATAATTGAATTTCATTGGCAAATTGTATTATTCGTGAAAATAATTCAATTCTTGACAAAAGTATTGTTAAAATTTTTTTAAATAATTGAATTGCTAAGAAGAATTTTATTATTTAAGAAAATAATTGAATTATTGCGAAGAATTTTATTACAATTTTTTTTAAGAATTGAATTCCCTTTAAAAATTGTTATTATATTTGTGAAAATAATTGAATTCCTGCATCGAATTTTATAGAATTCTTTTTATATAATTGAATATCCTTGATAAATTGTATTAATCGTGAAAATAATTGAATTCTCAACAAAAAGTTTATTACAATTTTTTAAATATTGATTTGCTCAGAAGAATTTTATATTATTTAAAAAAATAATTGAATTATTGCGAAGAATTTTATAAAATTCAATTTAAATAATGGATTTTTTCAAAAAATGTTATGATAATTGTGTTTTAAATACTTGACTTCCTGTAAAGATCTTTATTTATATTTTTCTTGAAAATAATTTAATTACACAGAAGAATTTTTATTATTTACGAAAATAATTGGAATTCTGCGAGAATTTTATTAAATTTTTTGAAAATAATTGAATTTCGGAGAAAATTTTTATTATTTATAAACATAATTGAAATTTTTGACGAGAATTATTGTAAATTTTTGAACGTAATGAAATATTACTTTTAAAAAAAAATTGAATTCTTGGGAAATTAAATTAAATTTCTACGCAGAATTTTATTAAAATTATTTTCAATAAAAATGGAATTGTTACAAAAAATTTCATTAAAATTTTCGAAAATAAAATTTAATTCTTTCAAGAAATTTAATTAAAAACATATTGAAAATAATAGTTAAATTCTAATAAATAAATTGTAACAAAGGTTATTAAAATAGTTGAATTTCTTTGATAAATTTTAATAAATTTTTTAAGAATAATTACATTTTTCGAGGAATTCCATTAAAATTGTAATGAAAATAATTGAAAGTCTGCGATGAGTTTTATTACCTATTTATGAAAATACTTGAATCACTATAAAAAATTATTATTATTTATAAAAATAATTTTAAAATAATTAAATTCCAGTGGAATTTTTATTATTTATGAAAATAATGGAATGTTTCCGTTAAATTTTATTAACATTTTTTTTAACTAATTGAATTCTTTTGGGAATTTTTATTAAAGTAGTAGACACTTGGGGTTCATTATTTTATTTTATTAAGTATTTTATTTCTACATTCACTTTCCTTTTCACTTTAACAGATAAAAATCTGTCAGTGACGGTAAAAATAAAAGGAAAAAAAAATTCAAAAATGGCGGACTAATTTCTTAAAGTTCACTGGATTCATTTGAAAATTATTACTTGGGGGTTTTTGGAGTCGCTGATTACGAATCTAACGTTGGTTTGTAAAAATTCAAAATGGCGGATCCAATATGGCGGTTAATTTTTTAAAGTTCGTTGAATTCACCCCAAACTTGTTACTCGGGGGTTTTTATGGTCACTGATGACAAATCCGATGTCTGTTTTCAAAAATTCGAATTTTGCGATCAACTTAAAAAAAACCATCAGTAATAGTGAAATAGTTTTTCTTTAAATTGTATAAAATTTGTATAAATTGTATAAAAATTAGAAACAATAGGACAAATTGCTTTATTGGGAAAGTTTATCAAATTTGTAATTAATTTTAAAGCATAACAGTTAAAAAAGAAATATAAGAAATGTAATATATTTGAAAAACTGTGGAATTTAAAAAATGTTTAACCTTTTTTTGTCTTTTATAAATGACGTAATATTTGAGTTATATATTTTTTTTTCTTTAATCTTTCTCTATATGAGGAAGAAAAGAAAAGTTACATCATTTATGAAACTGCAAATTGAGTGATAAGTGGCTCTTGTCTAATTTATTGGTTCTACTTTTTTGTTTAGATCTACACCGATTGGGCGAATCATTATCTGGAACGAGGCGGTTGCAAGAGGCGAGTTACAGACCTCCAGGCTGATCTCTGCGACGGAGTTCTTCTTGCCGACCTTATCGAGGCCGTCAGTAAGTCTATTTTTCACTATTTCTTATTGTAAAGTGAAATTCAAAAATAACGCAAAAGTCTAATTAAGGAAATAAAAAAAAATAACTCAAAATAAATAAAAATCAAATTCAGGAAATGAATAGAAAATAAATAAAAATTTAATTAAAAAAAAATAAAACAAATTAAAATTTAATTAAAAATACAAAAATCAAATTAAGGAGAAATATAAGAATCGAATTCTTTAAAAAAAAAACAAAAATTAAATTAAGAAAAAAAAATCAAATTCAAAATAATGAATGGGAAGTAAATAAGAATCTTTAAGAAAATAAAGTGTAAAATTTTAAATTTGAATGAAGTCTTCAATCAAATGGATTCGGACTCTATAAATTATGAAATTAGTCAAAAAGCAATTAATTCGATAAGAAATAATATTAAATTAATAATTAAAGAAATTTATTTTTTAATAAATTTTCTATTTATTTCATATAAAAACTCAATTTTTTTTTTGTAAAAAGCAAAAATATACATTTTTTTTTCTCTTTTTAAATTATGTAATTTTCTATAGGAATAAAAGTTCTTTCTCTCGTCTTCTGTCTGCGTGAAATTAAAAAAATTATATCTCAGAAATATTAACACTCCGCTTGTACTTCTATTGTGAGTTTACTTCCATTGTGAGTCAAGTCCTAACCCGGAAGAGCGAAATAAACGGTATGAAATTTCGAGACGGGTTACGTGTCACACCAACGATTATCCACTGACAGTATACATATATATTTTCATTTCAAAGTATTTCAAAGCTTTTATGGCAATGGACAGTTAAATATAAGAATAAGTAACATATTAGATTTAAAGAACCATGTTTCACATACCACACAATACAATTGCATTAAACTAAAAATAGAAAATTAAAAGTATATTAATCCCTTTCTAGGATATTTTTTTTTTGTGAGAATGAGACAAAAAAATGCGCTGCGGAAAAAGAATATAAGAAAAACCAAAAAGAATATAATATAGAATATTAACTAGATTGTATTAAATTCTTTTTATTTAGATTATTTATAATTATAAATAAAAAATAATAAAAAAAATCTCAAGAAATAAATTATTTTCATAAAGAATAAAAATTCTTCGCAGAAATTCAACTATTTTTAAAAGTTTTAATAAACTTCGTAGCAATAATTTAACAATTTTCACGAATAATACAATTTTTCAAGGAAATTCAATTATTTAAAAAACTTTACATAAAATTCTTCACAAAAATTCAATTTTTTCATAAATAATAAAAATATTATGGAAATTCATTTATTTTCACAAAAAATACAATTTTTCAAGAGAATTCAATTATTTAAAGGAATTATAATAAAGTCCTTCGCAATAATTCAATTATTTTTCAAATAATAAAATTCCTTCTCAAGAATTCAATTATTTTCAAAAATTTTTTCAAGGAAATTCAATTATTAAAAAGAATTATAATAAAATTCTGCGCAAAAATTCAATTATTTTCGTAAATAATAAAATTCTTCTGTGCAATTAAATTATTTTCAAGAATAATATAAGTAAAATCTTTACAGGAAGTCAAGTAATTAAAACATAACATTTTTCGAAAAAAATCAATTATTTAAATAGAATTTTAAAAAATTCTTCGCATTAATTCAATTATTTTCTGAAATAATAAAATTCTTCACAAGAATTCAATTATTTTCAAAAATTTTAATAAAATTCAATGCAGGATTTCCATTATTTTTACAATAACACAATTTTTCAAGGAAATTCAAGTATTTAAAAAACTTTTTATAAAATTCTTCAGGATAAGTCAATTATTTTTTTAAATAGTAAAATTTTTCTCAAGAATTCAATTATTTTCAAAAATTTTAATAAAATTCGATGCAGGAATTCCAGTATTTTTACAAATAATATAATTTTTTAAGGAAATTCCATTATTGTCACAAATAATAGAATTTTTGAAGGGAATTCAATTATTTTTACAACTAATACAATTTTTCAAGGAAATTCAATTATTTGAACAAGTTTCCATAAAATTCTTAAGAATAATTCAATTATTTTTTTAAATAGTAAAATTTGTCTCAAGAATTCAATTATTTTTAAAAATTTTAATAAAATTCGATGCATAATTTCCATTATTTTTACAAATAATATAATTTTTCAAGGGAATTGAATTATTTTCACAAATAATATACAATTTTTCAAGAAAATTCAATTATTTAAAAAAATTTTTATAAAATTCTTCAGAATAAATTAATTATTTTCTGAAATAATAAAATTCTTCTCAGGAATTCAAATATTTGAAAACTTTAATAAAATTTTTGTCAAGAATTCAATTATTTTTATGAATCATACAATTTTTCAAAAGTATTCAATTATTTAAAAAGAAATTTATAAAATTATTACCAAAAATTCCATTATTTACAAAAATAATAACATTTTTCAAGGGAATTCAATTATTTAAAAGAATTTTAATAAAATTCTCAAAAATTCAATTATTTTCATAAATAATAAAATATTTGTGAAGAATTCAATTGTTTTCACAAATAATTCAATTTTTAAAGGGAATTCAATTATTAAAAAAAATTGTAATAATATACTTTGCATTATTTTAATTATTTTCTTAAATAATAAAATTCTTCTCAGCAATTCAAGAATTTTAATTTTTTTTAGTACAATTTTAATCGAATTCCTCGAAAAATGTAATAATTCTTAAAAGATTTTTTTTAAAATTCGTCCAAAGAATTCAATTATTTAAAAATTTGTTTAAAAAAATTAATTTTGAGAATTCCATTTTGGTAACATTTAATTATTCAATAAATTATTTATTTTAGTATTTAAATATTTGAATTCTGGTAGAATTTTTTTTTTATTTTTTTTTTAATACAAATTGATTTTAAAAATGAATTTCAGTTATAATTATAATTTTAGATAATAATTTAATTAATATTTAGTTTTTAGAAATACTTGAATTTTGAAAAGGTTTAAAATTAAAATCTTTAAAAATTTAAATTTTTCATACTTTGAACTGACAATTCTGTATAGAATCAATTTTTTGAAAAAGTCTAATTGAATTTTTTTAAAAATTATTTGAAGTTTTTATTTTCTAATATTCAAATGGATTTGAAAATTCTTAAAGAACTTTTTTTAAAAATCATTAAAAAATATTAATTGATTTAAAAATGAATTTTAGTTAAAAATTCTAGAAAATAATAGTTGAATTGAAATGATGAAAATAATTTTTAAGAAGTTGCAGTAACAATATTCTTATAATATAAAATATTGATTTTATCACTCGGTCGTCATCTTTAATTATTATAATTATAAAACATGAAGTACAATATAAAATCAAGTTAAAAAAATTTGTTTATAAATCATATTTTTTTTAGAAAAAAATTTATTAGTAAAGTGATTTCATTATGAAATCGCTATTTTAGAATTAGTTTTTCTAAAAAATATTAGAAAATATTAGAAAATATAAGAAAATATTAGAAAAATATTTTTTTGAAAATATTTTTTAGAAAAAGTAATCAACTAAATACATAGAAATTGCCAATATAAAAATTTACAGAAAGAGGAAAATGGAAAAACTAAAAAGTCCAACAAAAAAAAGAAAAATAATGCGACAATTTATTTTATTTTGACTTCAAATCAATGTTATTTTTTAGCAATTGTCTTTTAAGTAACAATTTTGTTAGGTTAAGTTCAGTTAAGTAACAATAAACAAAAATAAAGTAACAAAAACAGAAAGCAAAAATTTATAAAAAATTTATGAACAAGAAAATTAGAGATAAATTTAACTTAAAAAATTTTTTGTCTCATTTTTCTTTCTCTAAAATTCTATACGGAACATAATTTTTGTTTTCAGCAAATCAAAAAGTGATCGACGTCAATCGAAAGCCAAAGAGTGCCCAGCAAATGGTGAGTTTAACAAAAAAAAAAAATTTCACAAAACTATTTTCTTTCTTTTTTCTGTCCGAATATTAAAAAAGTGCTTTTCAAGTCTTGAGACTTGAGTCTCGTTATTTAGAAATATCTTCTGAACTCTAAAGTTCCCTTGGTGGAAATTAGCGCGCGACACAGAATTCCGTGCGCTCATTATAAAAGTAAAAATTCGAAAAAAGTTTTCTAATTAGAGAAGACACTTGGAGGGAAATCATCTTCCTTACGGAGATAATACTTTTAAGACCGTTCTCCTCTTAAGTCGATTATAAATAGTAGAGTGTTTATGCGTATATATTCCTCTGGTAATTACGTATCAGATGTAAAGAGACGCGGCACGCGCTCATGCAGCTGCAACGAACAAAAAACTAACATAGATCAGTGAAAAAAAATATCTCTCTTTCTCTTTCTCCCTCTTTTTTTTCTCTCACGCGCCTTTTAAAGCTCATTGGAATTTTACGAGCCATGACTTTTTATTGCGCGACTCGAAAAAATTAGTGAAAATGGTTAGACAGACGATCCAATGGTACTTGAAGAACATTAACGTCGATGAAGGAACGTTAAAACGTAATGTAATCCTTAATAACGACCCAAAGCTCTTACGAAACGAGGAAGGATTAAATTTCAAATTCTCATTGCATTCGCACGATATGAAACGTCGAAAAGCAAAATTTAACATGTGAAAATAAATAAATTGGACTCAGGTTAAGTGCCAAATCTAGATCTATTTCTGCTCTTCTTTCTTTTTTTTCTCCTTCATCGGAAATAAAAGTGTAACATATTTTTAATACAAGAGTGAAAGAGTGTAAAAATTTTGAATTAATAATGTTTGTATCGAAAGAAAAACATATTTATTTCAAAGGTTGACAACCTCTTTGAGAATTATTTTTTGCAAAAGAGTGCAGACAGAGGTTGATTTTGCATTTTTATTTCTACTTTGACTTTCATTTTCACTTTTACGTTAAAAGACTTTATTTTCACTTTCAATTTTACTTTCATTTGGACAGATTTTTACTTTCACTTTTATAAATTTTTACTGTTGCGCTTTTGCTTTTATTTTGATATATTTTTAGCATCATTTTTACTTTGACATTTTTTATTTTCTTTTCATTTTTATTTTCACTTTCACTTTGATGGATTTTTAGTTTCATTTTCATTTTCACTTTCACTTTGATGGACTTTTAGTTTCATTTTCATTTTCATTTTCATTTTTACTTTCATTTTCATTTTCATTTTCATTTTCATTTTCATTTTCATTTTCATTTTCATTTTCATTTTCATTTTCATTTTCATTTTCATTTTCATTTTCATTTTTATTTTCATTTTCATTTTCATTTTCATTTTCATTTTCATTTTCATTTTCATTTTCATTTTCATTTTCATTTTCATTTTCATTTTCATTTTCATTTTCATTTTCATTTTCATTTTCATTTTCATTTTCATTTTCATTTTCATTTTCATTTTCATTTTCATTTTCATTTTCATTTTTACTTTTACTTTTATTTTGTTAGATTTTTAGTTTCACTTTCGCTTTTACTTTCATTTTCATTTTTTACTTACATTTTAATTTTTACATTAATTTTTAAATAAAATTATTAAACAATTAATATCCGTTGCAAAATTGTATTATTATTAACAATAATTGGATTTCTGGGAAGAATTTTATTATTTAAAAAATAATTTAATTTTTGAAAAGAATTTTATTAAAATAATTTTAAATAATAGAATTCTTTTGAAAAATTGTATTATTCTTGACAAGAACTAAATTCCTGCATCGAATTATATTAAATTTTTTTTAAAATAATTAAATTCCTGAGAAGAATTTTATTATTTATGAAAATAATTGAATTTTTGGGCAGACTTTTATTATAATTATTCTTAAATAATTGAATTCCCTCGAAAAATTGTATTATTTTTGACAATAATTGAATTCCTGCATTGAATTTGATTGAAAGTTATAAAAATAACTGAATTTTCTTGAGAAATTTTATTATTTTTAAAAATAATTGAATTCCTGCATCAAATTTCATTAAAATTTATAAAAATAATTGAAAAATTGTATTATTTTTGAAAATAATTGAATTCCTGCATCGAATTTTATTAAAATTTTTAAAAATAATTGAATTCCTGAGTAGAATTTTGTTATTTATAAAATAATAGTATTCTTGCAAAGAATTTTATTAATATTCTTTTTAATTATTAAATTCACTTGAAAAATTGCATTTTTTGTGAAAATAATTGAATTCCCGTGATATTGTTATTATTTATGAAAAAATTGAATTTTTGTGAAGAATTTTATTAAATTTTTTTTAAATAATTAAATTCCCTTGAAAAATTGTATTATTTTTGAAAATAATTGAATTCCTGCATCGAATTTTATTAAAATTTTTAAAAATAATTGAATTCCTGAGTAGAATTTTGTTATTTATAAAATAATAGTATTCTTGCAAAGAATTTTATTAATATTCTTTTTAATTATTAAATTCACTTGAAAAATTGCATTTTTTGTGAAAATAATTGAATTCCCGTGATATTGTTATTATTTATGAAAAAATTGAATTTTTGTGAAGAATTTTATTAAATTTTTTTTAAATAATTAAATTCCCTTGAAAAATTGTATTATTTTTGAAAATAATTAAATTCCTGCATCGAATTTTATTAAAATTTATAAAAATAATTGAATTTCTGTAAAGAATTTTATTATTTAAAAAATAATTGGATTTCTGAGAAGAATTTTATTATTAAAAAAATAATTGAATTGTTGCGGAGGATTTTATTAAAATCCTTTTAAATATTTGAATTCCCTTGAAAAATTGTATTTTTTGTGAAAATAATTAAATTCCCGTGATATTTTTATTATTTATGAAAAAATTGAATTCTTACGAATAACTTTATTAAATTTTTTTTAAATAACTGAATTCCTGAGAAGAATTTCATTATTTATGAATATAATTGAATTTTTCCAAAGAATATTATAAAGTATTAATTTTTGTAAAAATTTCTTATTCGTAAAAACTTCAATGAATTTTAAATTCAATTCATTCGTCAAAGGTATTTTTTTCTTTTCCAGAAAGTAAAAAAAAAATATTTAAAAAATAAAAATATAAAAAATGTAAGTTTTAAAGGAATGACATAGTAATAAATTGTTATCTACACTTACTTTATATTAATATTGGTATAAATAAAAACAGTGAAATTAGAATTTTTAAAATTTCTTAATTACCCAATAAAATAAATTTTCAACCCTGAGCATTTGCCATATGGTGTCTGAAAAACGCATATATATATTTGAAGTTTCCTTATACTTCTAATAAAAAATTTCTCTGTCGAATACTTTTTTCTTTACTATGAAATAAATTTATTCATGAATTTTAATTCTTCCTGACTTCCGCACATCAAACATGTTGGATTAAATCTACAAGAGTCGCACTTATATAATAAAGTATATAAATATATTTCACAGAATCAATAACAATATTTCGCACTTATTTTCCTTTCTTTTTCTCTATATAAAAATGATTCTATATACACAATATCTTGGTGGGAGGTTTCGGCTCTCGATTGATCTTGAATTTACCTCCGGGAAAGATGCCACGTCACATCCTGACTCCACATATCAAGAAACATAACTTTTTGACTGTTTTTCTCTATATTTGATTACCTAAAAATGCTCATTTCTTTCCAATATGTGACAAATTACCATAATATATGCATTAGAATTCAATATTGAGGGAATGTAAATTATTGAAGGATCGAATCAAATAAAGAAATTAATTCAAAAGGTGTTATGTATCGTTTAAATAATAGTTAGGAATTCAGTCCAATAATTTTTTTCTAATTACCTATATTTTATGTGTTTATAAAGTTGTAACTATTTTAGAAGCAGAAAACTTTTTAGAATCGTCGTACCCAATTCCGCGGAACTTGTAATTTTGAACAAAGTTTTTGTTATTCGCGAAAATAAAAATTTTTATTATTTGAAATTATTATTTAATCAATAATCTCTTAATTAAAGCTGATGTTTTAGTTACAAATTGACTTTACCCGCGGAATCAATAATCTCTTAATTTAAGCATGTCTAATTTATAGAGTGTTCACAAGTCCAACAAGTTTGCACATGTCCAATATATAAAAAGAGGTTTTAAAATTCAAATTATAGAGAGTGTTCACAAGTTTTACTGTTCACTGATTAATATTATTATTTTTTGTCCCCCTTTATCTTACATATAATTATTTAAAAAAAAAACTAATTCCGCGGAAACAGTCACATGGATTATAAAATGTCAAATAAGTATATATAAAAGATAAAGGGAATACATATCGGTATCTGCATCAGCGAATACCGCGAACCACTCAACAAAACTGAAACTGAATGGCAAAGCAATCACTGCTGACTGTTTCCGCGGACATATCGGTATCCACATCAACCGACTGTAGCAGTGACTTTGATTTCGGATTTTTTTCATGGAACGAATCGAACAATGAAAAAGATGAGGAGTTTGAAAATTTGGTGTTTTTAACTTCCGCGGAAAAGAAGGATTTTATAAAAAGTATATTCGCCATTGATGAAGAAAAAATATTCGAACCTTGTCCAACTGAATTATATGCGCCATCACTATTAATAAAAAAATCGTACACTGGATTCATTTAGAAATAATTATACGTGATCGCTAACGAAAATATTAATTAATGTTTATAGCATATCATTCAGCGATATTTTACATTTCTTTTACTGGTAATCCAGTATACCAGTTTTACTGGTATCCAGTGTTTTCTACCTGAAAATTGAAATTAAATTACCGGTATCGCGGAGATTTTCCAAGATTATGTCCCTGTGCGAATATTCTGTGCAGTTTATTGAGACAAAGTGTTAATTTTTTGGTCATACCTTTTTCGCGGAGCCAATTTTTTTCTAAGTCCAACCTCCGACTTTTCCCGCTGATCCAGTGTTTCCTACCTGAAAATTGAAATTAAATAACCGGTATAGCGGAGATTTCCCAAGATTATGTCACTATAATATATGTTTTTATATGTTACAAATGTAACTCTTAGAATTAGGGAGTACGTAATGTACGAAAGGGCATGTCCCGTTATGTTATTAAATAAATAAATAAGGACCTATCTTTTAAAATAGCATCATACTGTTTAGAAAATAGGTCCTTATAATTGCGCACAGTGACTCCTGACATTTTAGTTATGTTCGACTTTTTGCGCGGAGATTTCCTGTGCAGTACTGCATTTGAATCTTGCCGCCAAAAGTTGAGCGTCCATCTTAGTTTCAAAAAATTCCGCACACAGATGGCGCGCCTTTCACCGCGTCCTTACGCTAAGAGTGCATAGTCATCATTCGTTCCGCGGCCTTGATACATGGTGCATTTTTCGAAATTTTAGATACAGGTGTGTGGTCAATTTACGAAATCGCAATTTACGGAATGAAAAGACGATCGCTATTTAGCACAGAAGATCAGCAACTTCATATAAATCCTCATTTGTTTTTTAATGTTAATTTTTTTCCCGTAAATTGACAACCAACCACAGTCATCATGCCAGTCGTTCCTTATGATAAACAGTATTTCGAGAGGCATATTGAGAGTTTGTGAAACTTGTATACATTCCTAAATGGATGTCATCGTAATTTCCAACTTCATGACACCGGGGGATTGTTTGATATTACGCCGGGAAGGACTTCGCTTCGATTCATATGCCCCATCGATATTACTATTGACCCTCGGGCAATTCATTGAAGATGTTGGCGGAGTAAGAACGTTCAGAGAAGGATTTCCGAATCAACTTAATCCAACTGTATGTGGAATACATTGTTCAAGGCAGTAAGTACTCATCAGCTTATTAAGACAAAGTGTTAGTTTTTTTGGTTATATAACCTCCGACTTTTTTCGTGGATCCAGTGTTGTTTCCTACCTGAAAATTGAAATTAAATTACCGGTATCGCAGAGATTTCCCAATATTATGTCCCTGTGCGAATATTCTGTGCAGTTTATTGAGACAAAGTGTTAATTTTTTGGTTATACTTTTTTCGCGGATAAACTATAGTCTTATGTTTTTTCAGAACGTATTCAATGTTTCATTTGGATGTCAAATCAATTGGAGCAATTTGCGTGAATGCGGCTGCTGTTCTTGGGGCCTTGGTTTTCCATAAAAGCATTGAAAACCATGATATTCTTATCTACATCAGATCGTCAGTTCGCCGCAGGGGAAGAGTTCTCGTCGCGGCGTTGAATGCTCTTAATAAAATAGAAGAGAATGAGGAGACGGCGGCCATGGCAAGGCGAACTTTTCGGGAACATATGTAGGTATAATATACATTATTCCATTTGCAGTGACTCTTTCCGCGGAATACAGGAAAGTTTTTTTTCAGTACCGTCAGGTGTTCAGAAGTTTATAAGCAAAAAAAAAAGCAATGAAGAAAAGAAAATATGAGGATAGCGACGAAATATCTTCATTTGCAGAACTATCGGATGCTTTTATTAATCAATATTGTGACAAAAATATTTCATTTTCCGAAATTTACTATCTTTCTTCTTCGCCGTCCGTTTCCGCGGATAGAAAAGTGGTTAAACAGAAGCTGAAAAAATCAAGTGCGAAGGATGAATCCGCGGAAAGTTCATTGGTCGTTGAGGAATTAGAAGATACCCAAACCCAGAAGAAACATGCAAGTGCAAATAATAAATCAAGTGCGACGGATAAATTCGCGGAATCGAAAAAGGATAAGGAAAGAGACAGGACTGAAATTAAAATGAAGAAGGAGGAGGATAAGCAGAACCGTTATCATCACTCTCGAAACCAGAAACCTTCAAGTAATCAATCAAGTGCGAAGGACAAATCCGCGGAAAAGTCATCTCTCGCTGTGGAAACAGAAGAGACCCAGAAAGAACCTAGAAGTAATAATTCGAGTTCGGTAGACGAATCCGCGGAAGATATAATCCGCTTTGATACAAATTTTTAAATTTTTTAAATAATTAATCAAAATTGTTTTGCTTCCGTTGGGTGTTGTATTATGGATTTCTTCGGCGTTAAAATGATCGAATGGCCATATTTTATTTGATTGGATGGAGTAAGTCTTATTTTCTGTGAATATGGTTTTTTCAAAAAATTTTACTCTGGATTTTTTTTCACTCTTCCCTTGTATTGTAGTATACCAGGACGTTTTCCTCGAATCCGCGGAAGATATAATCCGCTTTGATATAAATTTTTAAATTTTTAAAATAATTAATCAAAATTGTTTTGCTTCCGTTGGGTGTTGTATTATGGATTTCATCGGCGTTAAAATGATCGAATGGCCATATTTTATTTGATTGGATGGAGTAAGTCTTATTTTCTGTGAATATGGTTTTTTCAAAAAATTTTACTCTGGATTTTTTTTCACTCTTCCCTTGTATTGTAGTATACCAGGACGTTTTCCGCGAATCCGCTGAAGATATAATCCGGTTTAATATAAATTTTTTAAATAATTAATCAAAATTGTTTTGCTTCCGTTGGGTGTTGTATTATGGATTTCTTCGGCGTTAAAATAATCGAATGGACATATTTTATTTGATTGGATGGAGTAAGTCTTATTTTCTGTGAATATGGGTTTTTCAAAAAAATTTACTTCGGATTTTTTTTCACTCCTTCCTTCTATTGTAATATACCAGGGCGTTTTGGTAGGTTGCTATAGACTGCTCATACAAGATCATTGGCTTTAATTTTTTTATATAGAGTTTTTCTCCTTCTGCTTCTTATTGGTGCAGGTGATTGTAACCGCGAGCGTTATCGAGGACGTGATTGTGACCGAGAGCCAGAACGTGAGCGTGATTGTGATCGAGTGCCAGAATGTGATTGTGACCGAGAGCCAGAGTGTGAGCGTGATTGAGAGCCAGAATGTGATTGTGACCGAGAGCCAGAGTGTGAGCGTGATTGTGAGCCAGAATGTGATTGTGATCGAGAGCTTGATGATGAACTTGATTCTGAATCTTGGTTTAATTCAATCATTGGTTCCCCACGCTTGGACGACGTCGTTATATATTCTTGTTTCAGAAAACGAATATAAATTCTTCTCATAGCGGCTTTGGTTCTCTGATTTATTTCGCCCATTTCATTAAGGACTTCTGTCTTTAAAGGATTTACTTCATTCGTTTTGTTTATAGACGAACGTGTTGTTAAAGTGAGTGACCCATTTCCCCCCAAATTAAACAACCACATGCTGAAGTTCCTAGCCAGTTCGTACGATATGGTTGAAATATTCTGTGAATCTCGATTTGTTTCTTCGTAAAAACTAAAACAAGTTGTTCATTTCATGACCATTTAGCTTCCTCAATATATAATATAACTTTCACTAAAAAAATTTTTACTTTAACGCAAAAATTTTTACTTTCACTAAAGAAATTTTTTACTTTAACGCAAAAAATTTTCACGTTAACTCACAAAAATGTCACCTCCACTTAAAAAATTCTTACTTTCAATGAAAACATTTTCAATTTCACCCAAAATACTTTCATTTTACATGAAAATATTTTCTCTTAGAATTATACCCCAGGAATTTTCACTTCCAAAAAATTCTTAATTTCATTTTTGCCAACAAATTTTCAATTTCACCCAAAATATTTTCATTTTCACAAAAAAAAATTTCAATTTTACTATTAATTTAAAATTTATTACTTTCAATTTCACTAAAAATACTTTCATTTTCCATGACAAAATTTTCACTTAGAATTTCACCCAAAGAATTTTTACTTCGACAAGATTGTTAATTTCATTTTTGCCAACAAATTTTCAGTTTCAATTTCACCCAAAATATTTTCATTTTCAATTTCACAAAAAATATTTTCACTTTCAATCAAAAAATTTTCAATTTCACCTAAAATATTTTCACTTTCACTCAAAAAATTTTCAAATTTGAATTTCACACAAAATATTTTCACTTTCACTCAACTTTTTAATTTAATTTCACGCAAATTATTTGCACTTTAACTAAAAATATTTTAATTTTTACTTTCTATAAAAAAATTTCACACAAAATTTGTTTTGGTATTGAAAGTGAAATGTTTTTTGAAGAAATTAAAAGTGAAACTTTTTTTAATGGAGGTCAATATTTTTTAAGTGAAATTGAAAATCTTTTGTTTAAAAATGAAAATATTTTAGATGTAATTTAAAGTAAAAGTTTTTTGGATTAAAGTGAAATTTTTTTTTTGGTGAAATTGAAAGTAAATACGTTTTTGGTTAAATCGAGTGACAATTTTTTTGGGTGAAATTAAAAGTTAAAAATTTTTGGCGTGAAAGTGAAAATTTTTTAAGTAAAAGTGAAAGTTACGTGAACGCACGTTTCAATCAAAACATTTTCAATTTCACCCAAAATATTTTCACTTTCACCAACAAAATTTTTACTTTTACTGTGAATTAAAAATTTTTCACTTTCATTTTCACCCAAATTACTTTCACTTTCTATAAACAAATTTCCACTTAGAACTTAACTCAAAGAATTTTTAATTCTAAAAGATTCTTAACTTTAATTTTGACAACAAATTTTCATTTTCAATTTCGCTTAAAATATTTTAACTTTCAATTTCACAAAAAAATATTTTCACTTTCACTCAAAAAGTTTTTTCACTTTGAATTTAATGCAAAATATTTTCACTTTAACTCCAAATATTTTAACTTTCACTTTCAGAGAAATTTTTTTTATTGAAATTGAAAGGTTCTTTGGCGAAATTGAAAGTGAGAATTTTTTTAGTGTAAATGAAAATTTTTTGTTTAAACTGTAAGATATTGTATATATAGGTGTGTGTGTGTGTGTGTATGTTATGTATTTGTGTGTGCGTGCTTAGACTTATGAGTAAGTGGGGACTGCGATTAAAAGAACGAATGATTAGACGAACAGTTCCTAATTAGACACGAAATATATCATACTCGTAATACATTAATAAATTGTTCCAATTATTTTTGTTTAAAATATAATTACGTTGCTTTGTGAATCATATTGTTTTATTTGTTGGCCCTAAAAGTACCTTACAGAATGTAAAAATATTTTAAGTGTAATTTGTTTCAAAAGTAATAAAAATCCTTTTTTTCATTCAGGAATTTTTTTCTAAATACAGAAACATATTTTCTACAAAATTACGGATTGATTTTAAAATTAGTGAATTTTTAAGAAAAATAAAAATCCAAAAGGGGTCGGAATATTTTTTCAGGGATTTTATTTTCTAATTATTGATTTCCTCTCTAAAAGTTATTATAAAAATAATTTTATGGAAGATTTTAAGAAAATAAAATAAAAACATAAGTAAAAGTGAAAATCAAAATGAAAGTCGAAACCAAAATCAAAATAAAATACTCTGTCAAAATCGAATCGAAAGTCAAAGTTAAAATTACAAACTCGCACTTAAAATTTATAAAATAGAAAGACTTTCGTAAATTAAAAATTTCCACCAGTAAAATTACTTGGAATTTCCATATAATTTAGTTTCCATTTTAAAAAATAGTAAAAAATAAAAATTCCTTTATTTTCTCCTTATCACGTTGCTATTTCACGTAAAGAAGAAATTCACACCGAAATGAGAATGATAATTTGAAAATAGTTGGTTATTTTTACAAACTATATAGAATTGTTTGCATCGCGATTGTTTGCGTCGAAAGAAAGTAAGAGAGGAAATCAAGGGTTTAAAGAAAAAAAAAAAAAAAAAAAAAAATCATGTGGTAAGTGACTTTTGCGTGCTTTCTCGGTGAGCTTTCCAATTTCATGTTGACGAGGGTGGACTAAGAAATTCACAGTCTATAATTAAACGAAAGGCGAATCACGTGTTTTGCTGTACACTGACTGAAGCGCGACACGCAACTTAGTCCCCGCGCCCGCGTTTCTGTCGCCCTGCCCTTGTGACCCAAGATTCTCTCAGTTTCCCAGCAGCAGAAAAGTTCCTTGGATTCCATCTAATGATATAGAATTTATGCAATTACCCTTTTTTCTAAACGTTCCATTTTTTATTTCTGTCCTAGAAGTAGAATGTGGAGAAACCTGGATAGAGAATATACTATTAGACCATGTTTCTCCTCTTAATTTGTCGTTTACATTTTTCTCTCTTTCTCTCTCTCTCTCTCTCTCTCTCTCTTCTTCTTTTAAAAAATAAATTTTACTTTCAGACAACTTTTGGCAAAAACCGTTTACATTAAAAACATTTTTGACTGAATCTTAGCATTAAAAGTATTATTTTAAGTCCTAAAGTTAACCATACCTCTCTAAATTTAAATTAGTAAAAATGTTTACTAATTTGAATTATTGACTTTTGCTTTTGAATTAGTAAATTTTACTAATAAATTAGTAAAAATTACTATTACTATTTATTTTTACTAATTCAAATTTAGAGAGATGGTTTTAAATTTAAAAAGTAGGAGGCTTCGTACGCGATAATTAATTTTAATAAGAAAGCAGCAAAAAGCAGTTCTAAGACTGAAAAAAGTAGTAAAAATATCCAAAAATTAAATTTGATGACTAAAAAAATTTGTTTTCTTTAGATAATACCTACCTTCA